TCATGAAAAAGTGTAGAAAAAATCCTGAGAGGCCACAGCATAGTCGATAATTCGCTGCCCCTTGCCCCTCGTGGACGTGTGGGTGATGCCAGGAGGGTGGTAAAAATGTCCATTCCACTTACGAATCCAAGTAGCCATCTCCAGGGGAGTAGCGTTGAAATCCCCCATGATGATCCAAGGCCCAGCATGATTGTCCAACAGCGCCGATATGGTGAGAAGCTTTGCGACATTGATGGGTGCCTCCAGCCCCACTGAGACAGTCAAATACGCGCCGATCACCAGCAGCGGGGCTCTGGCGATCTTCCACTCGACCGCCACCACATCTTTGAAGGACAAGGGCCCCGATAGCTTCTGTTTGCTGCTGACGTCAACTAAGCCGATCGCGTTGTCAGGGTCGTCCGACAAGTGGCGATAAGAAGACCAACAGAGATGCTGACGGATACCCAGAACAATGCCACCTGCCTTCTACACGTAGGTCGTGGGGTAAGCTGGAGAAACAATACCTTGCCATTTGTGCTGCTTCAGCGTGCTCAAAATATCCTGAGTGTCGCATGCTAGCACGTGCGTCTCGGGCATGATGATGGTATCAACATCACTCTCTGCGAAAAGCTTGGTGGCCTTGTGCCCCCACATGGAAAGATTATGCAGTGGCAATCGCCGAACCTCTGGTGCCGCATTTTGAGATTGTCTCGGCTTCGGGCACAGACGGATCGTGCTACCCGCATTTTTGTGGAGCCACAGCAGCGTCAGCGAAGGTCTCCGACGAGGGCGGGTTGCCCCTGGCGGCTGCCAGAAGCCGCTGCACTGACTCCTGGGACGCCTTCGCCTTCGGGGGAGACTCATCTGCCGCTGCCTCCTGGGGCTGCGAGGGGGGCGCTGCTGCAGCAGCGGCGGCAGGGGCTGCTGCCGAGGCCGCGGCGCGCTGCCCTGCAGAAGGCGCTGCCTGGCCGTCGCCTGCGGCAGGGGCAGCAGGCTGGTGTCCACCTGCAGGCTGCTCCTCACCACGATCTTTACCTTCAGCAGCTGCCTCGCCTTGAGCTCCCACGCGTCGACGCTTGGAGGCCATGCGAGCCTTGAACTCCTTGAACTGCTGTCTGCGAGCGCCCAGCTGAGCAGCCGCTGGGCCAATCGCAGCACTGATCGCCTGCTTGATCTCCTGTGCCAAAGAGATCTTGTGCTTCTGCCATGCCTCGATGTCCTCCTTGGCCAGGTCAAGATCGGCGAAGTCGAAAGCCTCGCCGTCCTCGAACTCGAACAATTGCCCGAGCTCGTCGCCCTCGTCGAGAAAGCTGGACAAGTTGAGCTTGGGCTTGGGGACGGCGGCAGCGGCAGCAGGTGCAGCACCTTCTCGACACTTGAGGCGCTGGAGGTCCTGCTCCAATTGCTGCTCATGGGCCAGCCTGGCATCCGCGGCATCTTGCGCAGCCTGCTGCACAGCATCCTGAGCCCGTGCCAGCCAGTCGGTGCACTCCTGCTCGTGAGCGGTCGCCTTCGCAAGGGACTCATCAGCCTTGCGCGCAGCCACTGCCAGCCGCTGTGCCTCTCGCTCGCGCTCAAGGCTGGGCTTGACAGGGGCGGCGGCAGCTGGCGGCGGAGCGACCTCGAACTCCTTCTTGAGCGCTGCCAGGCGCTCGCCATGCTGTGGGGCGCGGCGCAGCAGGGCCTCGAACAGCTGGTCGGTCGAAGGAGCGAAAGGGTTGGCACTGCCGTCGCCGAGGGTGGCCGCCGCTGGTGGAGCCCACTGCCCAAGGGGCGGCCGTACGAAGGGGCTTGGTGGGTGTCCTGGCTGCACTGGACCAGGTAGCGCGGGCGGTCCTCGGCTCCACGACCCTGCATCACGTGGTGGAGGCTGGCCACCGACAGGACGTAGAAGGCCTCCGCACTGCCAGCATGCCGTGTGCCGCTTCCAATTCCACTTGTAGCGACAGCCGTCATGAGGACAAAACACAAAGCCACGTGCCGCCGCAGGCTTCCCCATGGCGTCAGGCGGGACGGGATGGAGGCTAGCGAACCCCTCAGCCGCTTCGACCGAGGGACCTCCGTAAACTCAGTGATCTGCCGCGGACTAGCGGTATCCGTTTTAGCCAATGCGGGCACAGCCCGCCAAAGCATCAGTCTTGAGCCAAAATGGCTACGGAGGAGGAGGAGGAGGAAGGAGGAAGGAGGAAGGAGGAAGGAGGAAGGAGGAAGGAGGGAGGAGGAGGAGGATGAGGAGGAGGAGGAGGAGGAGGAGGAGGAGGACGGAAGAGGAGGAGGAGGAGGAGGAGGAGGAGGAGGAGGAGAGGAGAGGGAGGGAGGAGGAGAAGGAGGAGGGAGGGGAGGAGGAGGAGGAGGAGGAGGAGGAGGAGGAGGAGGAGGGAGGAGGAGGAGGAGGAGGAGGAGGAGGAGGAGGAGGAGGAGGAGGAGGAGGAGGAGGAGGAGGAGGAGCGAGGAGGAGGAGGAGGAGGAGGAGGAGGAGGGAGAAGGGAGGAGGGAGGAGGGAGGAGGCGGGGGCAGAATCCGCCAGAGTACGCCGAGCCCTGTTCCCATAACGAGGGCGGCCGCCTCTCTCGCTGCCTTGCTGCGCCGCCGCTCCTGGGTCTCCCGCGGGCCCGGAGGGGGCCTCGGCCTGCCTGGTCTCCTGGCAGCGGCGCGCGGCGGTGGCGACGCGGTGCTGCGCCCCCTCGGAGGTCCAGCGGCGGCCTCGTTGGCGCAGGCCCGTGGGACCCCACCTCCACCTTGTGAACGTTTTCTGGCTCGGCGTTCCGGCAGTGGGCGGAAGGGCAGGACGGGGGGGGAGGGGAGCTAGACGGAACGACAGAGAGGGCAGCCCACTCAGAGACCCACCCATCTCGGTTCCCCACTCAGCGCTTGCACTGGAGGGGTCCCAGCGGAGATTCCTCAGTCAGTGCTTGCACTGAAGGGGTCTTAGCGGAAATTGAAAGATTGGGCGATAATTTCCCGCCGATGTTGGTGGCCAGCTGGGTTCCCGGGTTCCCCGTTCTGGGTTTCCGGGTTCCTGGTTCCGGGTTCCCAGGTTCCTGATTGGGTTTTTTCTCTGGCGTAATTGGACGACTTGGCAACATAAGTTCCTGCCGATTTTGGTAGCCGGCTGCCGGGTGGGTTTCCGGGTTCCCGGGTTCCTGGTTATTGGCTTACCGGGTTCCCAGGTTCCTAGTCGATCTCCTTATCGATCTCTTCATCGATCCTATTTCAAACCATCCTCTGATTGGGGCTTTTCTCTGGTGTAATGTTAGTGCCATCGTACCCCCGAACAGACGGGGATCATAAGCCAAGAAGCCGCGGCGAAAGGGCAATCAGACAACCACCCGCAGCGGCGGTAGAGGCACAGCGCGGAGCAGCAGCACGAGAGGGACACGCAGGGAGAGGACGCACAGCAACAGCACCAGCGACGACAGCAGAGACAGCAGGGGGGCACACGAGGGAACACGGGACGGCAACCACAAAAAAACGCAGAGCCAACACAAACACAGCGGAACGCTCGAACTTGTCAGGATGTCGCGGGCACCAGGGCAGCTGCGCCAGGTTTCGAGCAAACGGGCGGTCCTTCACCTGCGATCACACTCGAACCGCCTGGGATACCGGCATTAGCCAAGTGGGTCCAGGTGGGTTACGGACGAACTGCGTAGCCACACGGGTCTGTGGGCGGCGCTGCATTGACAAACGCAAGCGGCCCTCGAAGACTTGCTGGGGATTCGCATCAGCCTGAGCCTGGAGACAGAAGTGCGAATGAGCCTGCACAAAGCATTTGGCCAGCGTGCGCAAAACCACATCACCTGTAGTCTCAGGAGGGCGTCCGTCGACACAAGAGAGGGCGGGAAACGGGGCAGCGGCGCCAAGCGGGAAGAGCGGACGAACCCAGGAGGAAAAAAAACCCTACCATGGGGCAGTGCAAGTAGTGCGACTGATCAACACGACCGTCCCTGTATGCGAGCAGACATCGTCTCACATGGGCATGAAAACGAACGGTCGTCTAAACTTTCCTACAGAGCCCGGAGGACGGCAGCCACCAAAATCATCGAAACACAACTGCTGACTGTTTGTCATCCGCAGCTTAAAAACAGGAGACCAAACATCAGGCGGCAGAGGGAGATGCAACCACCGCAGAACAAGACGAGGGACTTTATCAGACATGACACCGGAGCGAGCATCATTCCGAATAGCTTTAGTAATCTGTGCCCGAGTCACAGTGCGGAGATCCTGAGGACATATCGCACGAACACGAAAGGCAAGGGCAGCCTAGACCTCACCCATTTTGCTTAGGAAGGAGCATACATACCACCCACGCTGCAATCGATAAGGAATAATATCCCACGACTGTTCAGACAAAGCCGACAAGCTGTTGTGGAACTCCCGCCATGTACTCGAGTGATTGGCCGCTCGAAACACCAAAGCCTGGGTGACACGCTCGATGGACAGACACTGAACGTTGCACCCTGAGTCGATATGGTCTCGCATCACGGGACCACTGGGGTGGACGATCATAATAGCGACAACAGTCATCATGGTGCTGATGATGATGGTGTTGATCATTATGGTGGTTATGCTGATGCTGGTGATGATGATGCTGATGCTGATGCTGATGATGAGGATGAGGATGATGAGATGATGATAATGATAATGATTGCGATTATGATGCTGGTGCTGATGCTGATGATGATACTGCTGATGATGGCGATGATTGATGGTAATGAAGATGAGGATTATGATGATGCAGATGATGATGATGATGGTGATGATGATGACGATGATGATGCTGATGATGATGATTATGATGATGATGATGATGATGATGATGATGATGATGCTAATGACGATGATGGGGAGGAGGAGGAGGAGGAGGAGGAGGAGGAGGAAGAGGAGGAGGAGGAGGAGGAGGAGGAGGAGGAATAGGAGGAGGAGACCGGAAGGGATAAAGGGTGCGGGGAAATGCGGACTTCGATCATCGGGATCTGGGGAGGCGGGGAACGCGGGGAGGGATGCGGGGATGGGGAGAGGTCCTCCTGACCCGCGTCAAGGCGAAGCTTCTCCTCGAGGCGCTCCTCTGTCTCAGCCTGCAGCCTCTCGGCGTCATCCTTCTGAGAACTCATCTGGGTGAGCGCCTGTCTCATCTTCTCCACCTGCTGGCGCAGGTCGGGCACTCCCTGTGCCCTCCCCCATCATTGCTCCTCGCTGATGAGCACACACCCTCCCCCAAACTCGGCTGGCCGCCTACCCGGGACCATGCTCATTGCTAAGCACATGTGGCGCACATGCCAGATAGCATGCCCCCTGCTGGCACTGGCAAATGATGCAAGATGCACGTGGCCCTTATCCTGTTCAATTCTAGATCACGCGCACCTGACGATATGTAAGACCCCACACTTCCTGCCACACCTGACGCACCTGCCGTGCGTGAGGCACCTGGCGAACCTGGCACCTACGCTTGATATCCACAACTTTTAGCGCCATCGGCACAACTGGTGCACCTGGCAGGCCAGCGGCTGCCAATTGAAGGCGATCGCTTCCAATGAACAGTCGCGGGGAAATTGGTTTTGGCCTCCCCTCCCGCTGCCTCCGACATCCTCCCCTCCTGTAACCCCCCGTACTGACATCCTGCCAGCCTGCTGTGCATCCTGTTCCTTGGCCTGCAAAGGCGGGGGCTTACATGTGCTCCCTTCTCCTTCTCATGATCCTCTTCTTCCTGAATCGTGGGCCCCTCGGACCCCGATAACCACCCAAACCCCCCAAAGCTATCCTGCTGCTCCTCCGTTTCCATTGTGACTCAAGCCACTGTGGCTCAAATCCGAAGCAGAATGCTCAGCACAACAAGAGCACCGATTGGCGGATAATGTAGCGATGACCTGTCAAAGTAATCTTCGATAGTCTAGCGCGACTTCATCCTGCATGCCATTTGCAAGCCACTACTCCAGACGTACCATGGCGCCGCCTGCTGGGCAGAAGTCGGCGAGATCTCCCAGGACCGATAAATCTATATAACTTGTATATACAAAAATTCCAGGATGGGGATACAGCAGGTGAGGGGCAGCGCAGAACTGGGCCTCCTCTGGTCTGACAGTGCTGATGACTGAAATCTGGCCTCCCATTCCCTCCCTCTCCTCCTCGTCTTCCTGCTCCTCCTCCTCCTCCTCCTCCTCCTCCTCTTCCTCCTCCTCCTCCTCCTCCTCCTCCTCCTCCTCCTCCTTCTCCTCCCCCTCCCCCTCCTCCTCCTCCTCCGCCTCCTCCGCCTCCTCCGCCTCCTCCTCCTCCGCCTAAGCTGCATGGGAGGAGGAAAGGGGAAGGGCAACCAGATGAAGGCGCTATGAGTATGGGTGCGAGCTGTCGGTCCCCGAGGGAATCTCCCGTTCGACCGGAGACTCCCATCCGACAACACACGCCCATTGCCACCCCCCAAGACCACCCCCCAGAATTCCACCCCGAGAAACCTGGGGGTTGCATAGGTATGGGTGCTAGTTTTAGGTCGGGCATGTCCTCCTACAGGCGGATTTTGGAAGACAAATGAAGAACAGTCAAAACATAGTCCCCCAACATCGAAAATAATGAACGAATCGTGTCCAGACTAGTTTTGTTACTGTTCTGGCGTATCCTTCCTGTAAAGGGACATGCCCGACTGAAGGCTAGTTGTCAGCTCATGAAGTGTGGCAATCCAGCACCTCCGCGGTCCCCACAAAAGGGCTGCCTCTTGGAAGGCTCGAGGTCTCCACTCGTGGGCTGGCAGACAGCAGCGGCGAGGCCAGGCCAACAACGAGGTCGTGACCGCAGGGATGGCGACGCAGCGAACGCCAAGTTTCAGAGGATGGAGTCTCGGGTGGAAGAGTTTTCGCAGGCTGTCCAATCTTTTTTGCGTCGGCGGCTAGGCAGAGGGTGACTGCGCTGGCGATGATGAAAGGCATAAACGGGGGTTCCGTTGGAGCGAATTGTGCCACCATGCAAGAGGAGGAGGGAGGAGGGACGCGGCCGAAGGAAAATAAGGACGGGGCGGGCGCAGGCTGTCCAAACATTACCAATGCAGATATAGTCAACCCGTATCACAAGGACGCACGAGAAGGGTGCAGGGGCTTCGAGAGGCCATGCCGACACTCTCCGAGCGGGGCGCGGCCAGCGAAAGCGGCCAAGGATGGACCGAGGAGGCAAGGATGCAAGGGTACCCTTGGGAAGGTTGCCCATCGTTATCATGCGGGTTGACTAGAAGCACTGGTCCTGGCAACGGTACCACCGCTGTCAACGGTACGGGCGCCCAGGCGCCACGGCTACGTCCGCAGTGGGACAAGCCCAACGAGTCGGATGCGCCCATCGCTCGCTGTTGACGAAGAAGAGTCCGAAGAAAGCAGATCTGGCAGAGACTAACGAGCTCGAGGACGTTGAGAGGCGCCTCAGGCACACCGGCGATGCACTGTGCAGCCCATCGAGAAGAGAGTCGCCGAGCTACGGACTGAACGCCACAATTGTGGTACCCGGCGACGACCCACCGTCGGGCAGCAGAGGACCTGGCATGAATGGAAGCGAGTCTGGGCAAGATGCGCGATTGTGACAGGGAGACGCAAGCAGTTTTAAGTCGGGCGTGTCCCCCTACAGGGAGATTTTGGGCGAAAAATAGAATATATTCCAAAATTACACCAAAACTGTCAAACAAATACTTAAAAAATCGTCCCCGAATTATTGTTTGACTATGTTTGAAGATTCCCCCTGTAAAGGGACAGGCCCGACTTAAAAGCAGCTGCGGGGCCTCGCAGAGTTGATCGCCACCGCGGTGCAGGGATCGCTTCGGAGACGAGCGAGGTCGCGCACCTGGAGGTGGGGCATGCAGAGACCAACGACTAGGGGTCGCCCCAGATAGGGGCAAGAGGACTGTGCACATGCACCGATTCTGGCCAGGCCCATCCTGAGCCCAGGATCGGTGCATACGCCCTCCTGCCTTGGCCAGGAAGGCACATGCACAGATCCTGGGTCAAGGATGGGCCTTGCCAGGATCGGTGCATGTGCATAGTTCTCTTCGCCCGACCAGAGACTTCTTCGCAAGATCGAGTTCCAGATCTCAGCTCATCGATCGACCCTCATGGCGAAGAAGTCCCGGCGGGCGATGCCAACATTCCCAGAAGCGAAGAGAGGCTACAGCATCAATGCCACAGAATATGCACGTGGATGAGTCTATCAGCTCGCCCGCGCCTGCCTTCTGCAGCTACCGGTGGCAACTACGATGCTGACGCAACTGCAGGTGGCGCCAAGAGAAGCACTCGATGACGAACCCGAGAAGCCGTTCACGCTTGCAGGAGACCAGGCAACACTCAAAAAACAAATGGCTGAGGTCCACAACAAGAAGCGAATCGCTGCTATAGAAGAGAAGAGAAAACGGCATACACATGTTGAACTTTTGGCGCTCAGCGCGGACTTCTTGGATGCGCGCTGGGCCCCCCTGGCGGCGCCTTCGGCGCCGCCCCTGGCGCGCTCCGCGCGCCAGGGAGGGGAAGAGCATGCTACGCATGGAATGGATTCAATGAAAACCAATTGCAGTGGATCTGCGAGTGGATCAATCTAGATCGATGAGGCTATGCTGCTTCTTTTGATTTTGAGCCGGCGCGCCAAAAGTTTCTGCCTGTGCCCTTTGTTGCTTCTTCGGTCCTCCTTCGATGGACCTGCTCTCTGGCTGGACGGCGCACGGATGAGCGCGCCGACTTCGTGCCTACCCAGCGCCGCCGCGGCCTCGCGGTCGGGGCGCCTGCACGCGGCGGGCTCGGCGCTGTCTCGTGGAGCGGGGTCTCGAATCCGTCCCTCTGTGCATCGCGGCCAGCAGTGCAGAGTGCTGCTGGAGGTATGGTGTTCCCAGCGTACGTCAGTGCCACATCCCAGAACTAATTTCGATCACCCAGAACCGTATCGAAACGGTGTCTAACGAGTATCGCCCCCCAGGGCCCGACACCTGACAACCCTCCAGTTTCGGGACTTCCTTGGTGCTCGATTTTTTTTTCGGGTGGCCAAGGCCAAAGTAGGTCGGAACATCATAGTGCTGGAAGTTCGGACCAAACAGAGTATGACGCTCCAAGGAGAGCAGGCTTCCGGTGCACGCGCCGTGGCGATGCCCCCGATGCAGACGAGGCCTTCGAGCAGGGCCCCCGCGGGAGGAAGGCAGCACGTGCGAACGGTGGCCAGAGAACGGCCAATCAACGTTTCGGGGCGCAATTTTAAACGCAAGTTTAGAAGAAGGAAGCACGGTATATAAACACAATGGATTGGCGCTCCCAGCGGATTTCTTGGACCTGCGCTGGACCCCCCTCCCTGGCGCGCGGAGCCCAACGCGGATCCAAGAGATCCGCGCGGAGCGCTAAAAGTTTATGTTCATGCCTGTCGTCCTCGACGGTTATCCTCGTGCACAAGATCGGCCACGTGGAGTCGGACCCAGAGGCGCTAGTCTCTTGGTGCGCGGCTCGCTGGTTGCAGATGCGGGCGGTGGCCGCGGCGGCCACTGCCGGCTATAATGCCACTGAGCGTGTCTGGCGATCTTCACGAGGACAAATACACTGGATGGGGTATTTACCAAGGGGGAGTGATTGACCTCCCGACTGAGTTTGCCCAATCCCGCCCCCTCCGTCCTCCTCCCCCTCCTCATCCACATCCCCTTCCTCCAACACCCCTTCCACCCATGCCGACAGCACGTGCCCAACGCCCCGAGCGGGTTCAAAAGGGGGGGGCGATTATTGTCCCATCCAGGGTCTCGGAATGCGACCGCCCTTGCAAGGCCGAGAGGAGCTCTGCGTCCGCCGGTTGCAGCGAGTGCAACATCGATCTACTGGGGCGGCCTGTGCTCGCAGTCTTCAACGCGTGCCTGAACCCCAGCGTCGGCACTGGAGGCGCCGCATCAAGGCAGCTGTTGGCCTGGCGTCAGCAGCTGGAGACTGGAACATGGGCCCACGGACCCTCGAGGCGTCGGAGTTCCCCCTCCTCGCCAGCTCGCATGCGATGGCGCCTGCGGCGCCTACTTGAAGAGGGGGCGGGGGCGACGGCTTTGAGCAAGATCGTTCTACCGGAATCAGATACTCATGCGAGGCTTCAAACATTGAACAGCCCATCTACGCTGGGCGACTGGACCCCACAGGCCCATCCGCCTTGGGTTCGAACTGAGGCATCTTGTTCATTCCATGACCAGTGCTGCCCATAGAGGCCTCCTAGATGGAGTCGGAGTGGATAGGGTCGGAGGATCGCGAGGCATCGCCGAGACATCGGCGATGCACTGGCGATGTATCCGAGACGTCGGCGATGTATCGGCGACGTCTGCGTGAAGAACATCGGGCTCCGCAGGGAGCCGCATCGGCGATGCACCGCCGATGCGGCGCGATCCTCCGACCCCACCTGCTCCGACCTCATCTAGGAGGCCTCGAGGCACGGCAAGGCGAAGGAGGAGGAGGTGGAGGAGGAGGAGGAGGGGAGGAGGAGGTGGAGGAGGAGGAGGAGGAGGAAGGGCCTAGAGCCCAGCGAGTTCCTGGTGTCCCCGATCGCCCCAGCCCCAGTCGGCGAGGCGCCTCGCCGAGGATGCATGCGTGCACGGCCGCCTGTGATCCGTCCGTCCCAGCGAGCAGCGGCCCGGGCAGCGCACTCGAACTCCTGGGGGCGCCTCGCCACCGCAGCCGCGCGGTGCGCAGGACAGAGAGCAAGCAAAGCAATCAAGAGCCCACGATCTTCCGTGCGAGGTTTTGTACGGTGCGTCGGAGTGTGCTGCGAGGCCAAGGGCTGTCGCCGATGGCTGGAAGTGGCTTCAAAACGCTGTTGGTCAGGTCGTGGTCTTCTCCAGGGTGGCTATTTTGGCCGAGAGTCGCATGAACTTGCGCGCGACGTGTCCGGCTTCCTAGTTGGCATGTGCCTAGGTCTAGGGCTGAGTTCGCGTCTAAACAGATCGTGCCATATCGCTTGCAATGTTGTTGGAGCCGACGAGATCAATCCCGAATCATTGGCTCAATTTGCAACTGGCATCGAGCCAGATGCCGAATTCGCTGCCACGGCGAGACTCGGAAACATCACGAGTCTTGGAACGAGTGGCGCGCTGCTGGCATGGCCGCAGGTGCTACGTGTTTTCGCAAGATCACTGCTGCCAGCCGGGTTAGAGCGGCCACAATCATTCGGGGGCCAAGTGACCATGCCGCGGACGCGACTAACCTTGTAGTGCAAGAGGCAGTGGTATATAGGGAGCTCGGGTGCGATTCGTCCGAGGCCCCCATGACCTGGGTTCCCGATCGGCCTTATCCGGAGAGAGCTTCGGTGACAAACGTGCGGGAAGTAGCGTGCAGTTGTTCACGCAATACGACCAGCAGCTGAAATCGACTCCACACGATGCTTGTGCTTGCGATCGATTGCCAATCAGCCGAGATTTTATGTGCCATGTGGAAGGCCTCCGAGGCCATGGGGATGCTACCACGCCACGTCGGTTGCAGTGGGCGATGCAACATGGCCCCCCCAAACCTAGAAGCAACAACATCTGATGGTCCTGCACGCAATCATTTACCAGCCTCGAACGTATCCCTATCCCTAAGATTGACACGCCAAAAGGCGATGACAATCTTAGGGGTTCGCCCTCAAAAAATGAGGGAACCCCTAAGATTGGCGTCGTGATGAGGAGGTGTCCAGCATAGAGATAGGGATATGTTCCAGGCTGGTAGATAATGACTTGAATCTGGCAGACATTGCGCAGACCGCAACTTTCCGAAGTCAGTCATCACGTCGACTGTCGTTAGCGTCTCAAGGTCGGGCCCCCCCTCGATCTGGGGAAATTTTCAAAAGGTACCGATATCGCAGCTCCCCGTACCTCTCCTGGGGTGCGTTCTGACCAGGATTGCGAGGCGAGTCCAGCGGTGGCAACGAGGGCCTCCCAGGAGGCCCAGAAAGGGGAAAACAAGGGAAGGCTAGTGGTATGGGTACCCTTTCCTGCTCTGATGGGCTCCCCCTCGATCGTGCTGTTCCGTTTTCGCAAGCTGAATCGCTGGCGGTGCCCAGTGCCGGGACCCGTCAGGCCAGCATCGCGCCTGCCAAGTTCTCGCAGGGACCCCTCGGGCGCGGCCTAACCGACACCTAACAAACCATCCCCTTCCGTGACGTCATCCTCGCCTTTCGAGCTCCCCTCCGGCCGCATACATACGGCCTGGGTTGGGTCGGGCATGTCCTCCTACAGGCAGATTTTAAAAGAAAAATGTAAACCAGTCAAAACATCAGCAACAATAGCCAAACATAGTAGAAACATCGCCCCCAGACTATTTTTGCCCATTCTTGAATCTTCCTCCTGCAGAAGGATCGGCCCGACGTAAGTCTTGGGGCGAGGCCCGGGGGACGTCACGGAAGGGGATGGTCTGCTGGGGGCCGGTCAGGCCGCCCCTGACCGGCCCCCCCGCACGAGGCACGCACGGCGCCCCTCCTCGAGGAGGTATCGGGGCCATGGAGGCCAAGGCAGGCCAGCCCCAGTTCGGGCGTGTCCTCCTACAGGCGGATTTTGGACGAAAAACAAAAAAGAGTCGAAACATATGGGAAGCAATCAAAAGGAATAGTAGAATCGTCCCCGACTATCTTTTTTTTTGTTGCTATTTTCGATTATTCCTTCTGTAGAGGGACAGGCCCGACTTAAGGCCAGCCCCGCCCTGCCAGCGGCAGGCGCTGGCGGCGTCGGCGCGCGCAACAAGTTTTGGCACCGCATCGATATCGTTCAGCCCAGATCTCCTCGCGTTGGACAAAAAAATCACGACGGGTGGTTTTTGCCTGATTTTCAGCCTCCAGGGGCCCTTCCCAAGCCTCGGGACCGTCAAAAACGACTCAGGACGAAAAACCGCTCTGGGGAAGGGGTCCAGACCTCTGGGTGTCGACGTTGTGACAAAAATCTCGACGTCGGGGGTCTGGGAACCGATCGCGACCCCGATCGTTCAAGGTGGAATTCCGTCAGGTCCAGTGGCGTTACCGTGTCCATCGGTGCTTCGGCGTCCCAGAATTCAACCTTGAACGCCTTTGCCGACGTCGACAGCGCGCCAGCGCCGCACGAAGCTACTGCAATTGGCTCGTGATTTGTCTTAGTCTGCCGTGGTTCGGCAACCGTCCGACCGTCCGACCTCTCGGGGGCGCCGTCGATAGATCGGTCCTTCTCCTCTTCCTCTCCCGGAGACCTTCAGATTCCCTGGAGGCGCAAGGAGGTCCAAACACGTCAACAAAAACTTGATTGTCGAAATTCGAACCTCGGTCATGGCTCATCGGACAACGATGACGACTACAACGACGTCCACGACGACGACGATAACGACGACGACGCTCTCGGTTCTTCGATTCCATGATTTCCAATCCGCGAGCCCCAGAACCTCCCGACGCCTTCCCCTGGGACTGATTTTCTACCATGCCTTCGCTGTCGGCCCAAACTCGGGAGAACATCGCCACTGGACCAATCGCAACGTCGGACGTCTGGGCCGACGACGAGAACTGGGTCTCGGACAGACCCGCGGACTTGCCCCGGGAGGTGCCGTGCCCACTGCTTCGAGCTGCGCCCAGCCGTGAGCACACGAGAGGAGCCGGCCCAGCCGTGACCGCGTCGGGGATCCCGCAGGCCAGGAGGGCCCACGGGCTCAAGAGTCCAAGTGCAGCACGAGCCTCGGCAGAAGAAGAACAGAAACGCCATAAACAGAAGCTTTTGGCGCTCCGCGCGGGCTTCTTGGATCTGCGCTGGACCCCCCTCCCTGGCGCGCGGAGCGCGTCGGGGGCGGCGCCGGAGGCGCAGCCTGGGGGGCCCAGGCGCCGATCCAAGATGCCCGCGCGGAGCGCCAGAAGCTTCTGTTTGTGGCGTTTTCCGTCGCTGTTGCTCTTCGACCCGATGTGCTCCTCCCCCCCATCGCCCCTCGCTCCTCCTCGCCCCCCCTGTGCGGGGCGCCCGCCTGCTTCCACGCCGCCGCGCTCTGCGCCCGCGCCTCCGCCAGCTCCTCCCCCAGGCCGCCGCCCTCGCTGCCCTCGCCGCCGGCCTCGGCCCCGGGCACGAGGCCCTGGGCCCTGGCCCACTGGAGCAGCTCCTTCGGGAGGAGGAGGAGGAGGAGGAGGAGGAGGAGGAGGAGGAGGAGGAGGAAGTGGAGGAGGAGGAAGTGGAGGAGGAGGAGGAGGAGGAGGAAGTGGAGGAGGCGGAGGAGGAGGAGGAGGAGGAGGAGGAGGAGGACGCGTCGACCCTGGGCCCTGGCCGACTGGAGCAGCTCCTTCCGGGAGGGCTCGCGTCGCCACGGGCGGAGGTTCGCGCATCGAGACTGCGCAGCGCATCCGGAAGGCGTCGTTTCCGCCTCGGCCTCGGAGGGCCCGGCCCCCGTGGCCGCCCGAGGTCGACCCGGAACGCTAGCCGCTGGCCAGGCACGGCACCCGGGAGGGTGCTGGCTGGGAGGAGCTTGTTTCTCACGGTCGACAGAACAATTTCCGCGATCAGCATCAGATGTGCTTTTCAATTACGGCAGTGTGCTCCTGTACGCTCGAGCGCTTTCCTGGCTCCGATGATCGTCGGACCTCGAGCTCACTCGACAGTCCTGTTGTCCCCTTACCTCGCGCATCGTGTGTCTCGTTGGCTCTTAGTTCTGCGTGCTTTCCTTCACTTGGACAGATATTTCGCTACCGCACCAAAGACACTTGCACACAGTGCGTCAGCATCGCCGACGTCAGAGCACACTCGTATATGGCTGGCATCCCCGTCAAGGAGGTTTGCAGACCCTCGCGGGGAGAGCTGATCAGCCTCGAGCGCAAAGTCCGCCACACGAGATGACCTTTGATGCCTTCCCGCCGCTTCGCTTCTGGTTGACTTCTGCGGCCTCCATATGGCTCCAAGATGGTTCAAGAGAGCCCCCAGAGAGGCCAAGAGGCCCCCAAGACGGCCCCAAGGCCCGAGAGTGCCCAAATGTGCGCTTATGAGCGCTCCTGAAGGGGAATGCCAAATCGAGGACCCCCCTCTGTTGAACAAGGTGGCCCCAAGACGCCCTCCAGTGCTCAAGGGCTCCCAATAGGCCGCTGGGAGGGCCCCAGGACACATCAAAATAGCCCCATTAGGACCCCATGACTTTCCACAAGGGCCTCAAGAAGGTCACAAGAGGATCTAAAGAACACCTCAAGAGGACCCCAAGAAAACTCCAACCTGCCTCCAAGAGTTCTCGTCATCGTTGGCATCTTCCTCCTTGTCTTTGTTTTCCTCGTCGTCGTCATCGTCGCTGTCTTCGTCCTTCACGTCGTCCTCCTCCTTTGAAATATATACGAAGCTATGTGGTGCGCTCCTGCACTGCATGCTGCTACATTTCTCTTATCGAGCAACTCGCCTGGGCATTGCTTCTGGATGGGCTGGCGGGCCGACGCAAAGCGTCAAGATGTTGCAGCAACCTGCAGCACAGTGTGTAGTTAGCAGACTCCGCCGCAGAATGTGCAGCAGCCCGCGAAGCAGCGTCTGCAGCCAACTTCGCAACCAAGCCCGCGGCAGGTTCTTCAGCCACACTGGGCGCCGGCGCGACGAGCGGCGCAGGCAGGAGGAAGAGGAGGAGGAGGAGGAGGAGGGGGGAGGAGAAGGAGGAGGAGGAGGGGGAGGAGGAGGAGGAGGAGGAGGAGGAGGAGGAGAGGGAGGAGGAGGAGGAGGAGGAGGAGGAGGAGGAGGGAGGAGGAGGAGGGCAGCGGAGGGGTGGGAACAGCGACTCTCTGTCAACCGGGTCTGGGGGACGGCCGCCCACGCCCCTGCGGGCGAGGGGCGTGCGAGGAGCACTGTTCGCTGCGCTGGGTCGGCACCCGCTGGAGACCCCCACTCGTGTCCCCCAGTGCTGACACAGTCGGGGCTGATTGGACAGGACACGCGAGAGGACACGAGACCCTTCCGAGGGCCACGTTGCCACAGGAATGTGAGAAGGCATGGGTCGCGAAGCACTGGACACGAGGGTACCTTTGATTTGGCAGGGTCGATCTACTTATCAGGCTCGACTGTGCGAGAGATGGGCTCTGTTTCGGTACTCGTGCCCGCCAGGGAGCGGTGCAACTTGTCGTATTCCTTCTCTCTCCTCTCTTGGGCCTACGCTCTGCCTTCTTAGGCTTGCGCCTGTTTTTTCTTAGTCGCTGGTATAAGCTGCTGGTTGGGCCGCAAGGGTCTCCGCACAGAGTCCCTGCTCCTCCTCCTCCTGCTCCTGCTCCCGCTTCATCTCTTTCCTCGTGTGCCAGCTGGTCTTCCAACGCAGTCCACCTCCGTGATTCGATCACCGTAGGCACGGAACTCTTCTATGGCTGCCTGTGTCCGGGGTGGTGCGAGTGGAGAACGAATCCAGGCCCCCTTCCATGTTGGTTCGGGCTCGTCTGGCCCACCCCCTCTACAGTCAAAACTGATAGTACAGATGCGCGACGATGATACAAGCCCCTTGGACGCCCGTGCTGAATCTTTTTCGAGCGCAGCGGGCCATCGAAAGTAGTCAAGGACGGGCTCAAGAGGCACGGATGCAAGGCTAGCCTTGGGAAGGTTACCCATCCTTATCTGAGGGGCAACGATAGGGGGGGGATATGCGGCATAGGAGGGTACGCATCGACCCCCAATCGCCGATTGATCGCCGATATGGGCCCGATAGCCCAAACCTGCCCAGGAACGTGCGGATTCACTATCGGGGGCCTATCGCCGATCTATCGGCGATGTATCGCCCATTCGAGGTCGATGCGTCCCTCCCTATGCCTATCCCCCCCCTTTTGGTGCCCCCGATTATCACCGATTTCGACGGTACGTTCTCTCCCCCGGCGCCGTGGCGGGCTCCGTGGGCGCGCCGGATCCTCTGCTGGGCCTCCAGGAGCAGGGCCTCCACGGGGCCCCGCGGTGTCTCGAGCGCGATGGGGCTCCCCGGACTTCCCCCTGAATCCAAAAACGCTGTCATCTCTTGGGGGCGAATCCTTTACTTCCGCCGGCGCAGGCGGTCTCTCGTTCTCCTCCTCCTCCTCCTCCTCCTCCTCCTCCTCCTCCTCCTCCTCCTCCTCCTCTGGAACGCCTCGTGTGTGGTGCCGTCTGCGTGGTGCAAACTGTCCAATCGGGAGGCGCCCGCCACTGCACCTGGCGGCCGCGAAGAGGCGGCCACGAGCGACCCCCGCGGGCGAAGACCCGTCGTGGCGCGGAACGCTCCACCGAGCGCCACTGAAGCAGCCTCTGAGGTGGGGGGAGGGAGGAGCGGTGGCCGATGTCTCGAGAGTTCTTGGGGGGGGTCCCTCCAGTGAGGGGGGAGGAGGAGCGAGACAGTGGCAGGGCGAGGACGCGACGGAGGAGGACGGCGCTGACCCGCTGCGCCTTCTTGCACATGTCGTTCCCCATGGTGTCGACGATCCTCTTCCAGCCGTGCTTCGAATATAGGGCCCGCAGCACCCGCTCCATGTCGTCGGACTCCATCGGCTTGAAGCGCCCGCCTGCCGACTCGAGCTGCAGCTCCAGGGCACTGTTGCGAAGCGTCAGCTCATTCAGTCTTGTCTGGTAAGCTCTAACGCTTTGCTTGATTCTCTCGTTGAGAGACCCCCGCAGCTCCTCCTCCAGGTACTCTGTGGGATCGAAGAAGTAGGCGAGAGTAGCCTCAAAGTTCTCTGCCTCTTTCTCCTTGAAATACACCTGGTTGCGCAAATGCGTGATCTCCTGCCAGTAAGCGAACCGGCAGTTCGAGAGCTGCTTGGACCTTTCTCCTCCTGGTCCTCCTCAACATCATCTCTCCTCCATCCTCCTCCTTGTTCGCCTCCCTCTCCTCCTCGTCCTCGTGCTTCTCCTCCAGCTACTCACTAGATGGAGGCGCATAAGTTGGAGGAGCATATTGGACCTCTCCTGCAGGCAACTCTCCAATATCTCCATGCGAGCGCGGAGGTCATCGTTGAAGCGCCGCAGGGCTTTGGCCTGGCCCTCGTTCTCGAGCCGAACGTTGCTCCAGACAATGCCCAGGATGGACGCAACGAAGTCGCGGAGGGCCTTTTCGTTACGGTCGGGAACTTTGGCTTAGCGTGTCGCGGTGGCGGCCCTGGCGACACGCTTTGCCCTGCAAGCGGATAGCGTGTGGCTTCGCTCCGCGGGGCGGGAGGCTGGGAAAGGCTCAGGACGTTGACATTCGGAGAAGAGGACCTGGTTAGCGTGCCGAGCCAAAGCGAGGTTTGCCATAGCCAGGCCGCGACACGCTGGGCCAATGTTCCTGACCGCATCCCCGAGGTACTCGGGACACAGGAGGATGCAGCGGAGGCGACAGGAGACGAACGAGGATCATGAGAGAGAGGGTGGTGGAGGGGGAAGGTCGCGCAAAGCCTTGTCGACCTCGTCGGCGTGCAAGTCCACCGTGAAGTCGTGGTTCGCCAGCGCCTCGAGGTCTTCGAAATCGAAGGGGTTGACGGCAGGGAAGTGCGCCTCGCTGGAGGAGCGGGAGGAGGGGAGGGCGAGGAGGACCTGGAGGGGGGCGAGCCTTCGTGCAGGGCAGCTCTCCGTGCTCGAGCTGCTCGTTGACCCTGTCCAGGCACCCCTGGAGGACCTCAGGGTGGAGAACTCAAATTCTTTACGCTAGCTCATCCCGATCTCCCTGCCCCCCCCTCGTTTCTCCGCGCCTCGCTCCCATCCTCCCTCCTCCCTCCTCCTCCTCCTCCTCGTCCTCCTCCTACTCCTCCTCATCATCATAAGCATCATGAGCATCATCAGCATCATCATCATCATCATCATCATCATCATCATCACCATCATCATCATCATCATCATCATCATCATCATCATCATCATCATCATCATCATCATCATCATCATCATCATCATCATCATCGTCAGCATCATCAGCATCACCATCACTATCATCATCAGCATCATAATCATCATCAGCATCATCAGCATCATCAGCATCATCATCATCATCATCATCATCATCATCAGCATCATCATCATCTCCTCCCTTCCCCCCATCCCTCCTCCAAAGTCTGTGTTTCGCTCGGGCGTGCTCTGGCTAGCATCGTGGGCAGCTCTTCCGGATCAGGTCGTCTCTGCCTGCCTCGCACATCTGTCAGACTTCCGAGGTGGGTGTTCTCGCTCGCTCGTCCTTATCCAGCCAAATCATCATCCTCCTACTCCGCATTCCTCCTCGTACCCTACTTCGCCCCGCCGTATGGGAACCCCTCGCCTCGCGAACCTCCGCGTGCTCACCTCTTTATCTTGCTACTCGTCTCCTGGCCATCTCTCCTGGCCATCTCCTTTATCGTGATCCTCTCCTGGCCATCTCTCCTCTGATACTACAGCCGTCTACATGCGCTTCTTCACACCTTCTCCGTCCCCACGCTCCCCTGCAACCCTCCTCACTGATGGTCTGCACGTTCCTCCCCCCCCCACCACCCCACCTCTCCGCTCCTCCGCGGCAGGCGGGCGGGGCAGCTGCACATCTTACCCTCAGCGTGACGACGGGGAAGACGGGCAGCAACGAGAGGCGAAGGGAGCACAAAGCAAAGGAAGACGAGAATGTGGGAGAGCGTGGGAAGGCAAGCCAGGTGCGCTCGCGCCACCTCTGACATCCTACGCCTCCCGCCCAGCCCTTCCCGTCGCGTTGTGTTTCCTCGATTATTCGGCGGGTATCCTGGCAGATCTGGGTTCCCCAAATGGCCCCATCGCGCAATCATGGACAAGCACAGGGAGATAGCGGGGAGATGTGTACAGTGGAGGGGGAGGAGGGAGAAGGAGGGAGGAGGATCAGTGTAAACCCAAGAGTCACCAACGAGGTTGAAATAAACCCTCCCACCAAGCTCCATCTTCATAGGCCCCTGCAAGGGTTCATTTCCACTGAGAGAACTGCCCCGTTGGATGACAACCGCTTGAAGACCCTGAAGCATGCCAACACATGATTCTCAAGACTCCAACGCCACGGATCAACATGACTGTTGCGTCTTGACGACCCTGAATCGTGCCAGAACGCCGTCCCTAGAACTTCAACGCCACGAATCAACGTACCTGTTGCACCATTATAACCATAAGTCTTTCCAAAACACAAAACCCTGGTGCGTTGACCATGGGAACCTGGGAGACTCTTGTCTTTTTGGTAAAACGAATGTGCGCGGCGCAAAACCGAGAGCCATATGTTGAAAACGAACCACCCTGAATCCGTGAAACTCTTGAACATGTATAAGACGAATGTGCGTGGCGCTAAAGCGAGAACGCCATTTTGAAACGGCCCGCCCTCAATCGGTGAATATCTTTATATTAAAAAGGGAATGTGCGCGGCGCTGAAACGAGACTAACATTTTGAAAGCCACCCGCCCTCGATCCGTGAAACTCTGGCGAATGGTTCGACGAATGTGCGCGGCGTTAGGGCGAGAGCCACACTTTGAAAAAGGCCCACCCTCCGTCTAAGAAACAGTGGCCAACGTTTAAGCTTCAGAGTCATAGATGGTGAGGAAGTCTCCAGCGAAACACCTAGCCCGCCTTTTCGACCGGCCTCGGGGTGCGACAGGGAGAAGTCATTCAGAAAGGAATGGAGAAAGAGGAGGAGGAGGAGGAGGAGGAGAGGAGGAGGAAGAGGATGAGGAGGAAGAGGAGGGAGGAGATTGAAGAGGAGGAGGAGGAGGAAGAGGAGGAGGAGGTGAAGGAGGACTGGAGGAATAGGGGGAGGAGGAGGACTGGAGGAAGAGGAGGACCAGGGGAGGAGGAGGAGGAGGAGGAGGAGGAGGAGGAGGGATGGGACTGAGGTGGAGGAGGACGGACGAGGAGGAGGAGGAGAAAGAGGAGAAACGAGAAGGACGGGGATGATGATGAGGAGGGGGAGAAGGACTTTTGTTACTGTGGGCCACTGCCAGTCAAGCTCCCAAAGAGATTGCCGAGCAGGTGCGGATACTACAAATCATAAGACGATGAAGGCATTGACTGTGATCCCCAAATCCAAGCAGGTCTCCTTGGGGGCATGAGTCGCACAGTGCGAACGAACGGTGCGGAAAGAACACGCGAGCTCTGGGTCGCACCAGCTTGTCGCAGGCTCTGCACCTCCATGTGTCATCAGCTGCTGGCTCGAAATAGTGGCTGGAAGCGTCAAGACGTGCGATCACAACCATGCGCCAGCGGACCAGTCGCGGGAGGTGAACGCGATGTACGATGCGCTCTGGATTCTTGGTACCCTGACACCGTCCAACCTTAGCTGCCCCGATACACAACGCGCAACACGTAGCGTATTGATACGGAGCCCAGCACGTGAACTGAACACGTAGGTCTGACGCGATACGTTCGCCAAAACGTGGTCCACTCCGTTGAGCAAGCACGCAACGCATGGCCACCGAAGTCTTGAGCACGGCACGTGCTGCGTATCAAGACGCGCGTATCGAAGCAACTACATAAGGCTCCAACATGATGGAAGCATTGCGCCGCAACATGCGACAAACCACATTTTCAAAGTCGGCGACTTCACAAACCACATCGGCCAGGACCTGGGCGCTTGCCGACCGCGCCGTGGCCAGAGCATCAGCGACCGCACAGGTGAACATATGATGAGGCTTCAGAGACGCCGCAAGACGAGCTTTGGTCGCACCATCATCATCGGCACAATGGCTGGGCATGTAAACTGCACCGGACAACCCAGACCGCAAGCCTAGCATGTGCCAAAGCTTTCCCGCCACAAGTCAACACTCTTCAATCGAAGGGCGTGGCGACGTCCCTGCTGGAACGCTTTCTAGTGAGGCGAGGAGAAGGATGAGCAGGAGGAGGAGGGAGGAGGAGGAGGAGGAGGAGGAGGAGGAGGGGGAGGAGGACGAGGAGGAGGGATGAGGAGGAGGAGGGGGGGGAGGAGGAGGAGGAGGAGGAGGAGGAGGAGGAGGAGGGGGAGGAGGGAGAAGGAGGAGGAGGAGGAGGAGGAGGAGGAGGAGAGAGGAGAGGAGGAGAGGATGAGGAGGAGGATGAGGATGAGGAAAGGAGGAGGAGGCGGAGGAGGGGGAGGAGGAGGAGGCGGCGAAGGAGGAGAAGGAGGAGGAGGAGGGAGGATGAGGAGGAGGAGGGGGAGGAGGAGGAGGGGGAGGAGGAGGAGGAGGTGGAGGTGGAGGGAGGAGGAGGAGGAGGAGGAGGAGGAGTGAGTGAGTGAGAACAGTCGCGAAGCGAAGATCGAAACAGACGCCCTCCCCTGGACTTGTCGAAGCGCACGACGGACAGGAAGAGGACGCACTTCTTCTGAAAAGCTGGCAGAGAAGCCCGTGGAACCATAAGCCCGCGGATGGGTTCCCCCCAAACATAGAATGTCAGTTCACCCCTTCAACACCAGACAAATACAGAGGAAGTTGAAAGAATGCCAAAAGCCACCTTGATACAAATACGCTGAACCGAAGCAAACTCGATACGGCCCACTACAGTAAACTGGTCATCGGGCAACCCTGACGGATCGTTCACGCCGAAAACAGCCTCATTGCATTCAAGGAAAAAGCCTCCAGCCCTTGCAATAATTGACCACCATTCGCAGCACCGCGTGAAAAAGATAACAGTAAGAGGCCCAGTCCCAGCAACGCTGAACAAATAGGCCGCCACCCGTACCCTCCCCACGCGGCATTGGGAGATAGCAGCATTGTAGATGATGGGGACTGAGCGCCATTGCAACCAGCAAACGCCCGAGGCCAGCGAAAGAGAATACCCCCTCCGTGCGGCCTTGAGGGATGGCTGAAATGTAAATGACGAAACCAGTGCCCGCCCAGCCTGTGGGAGCTTGAAAAACACGTGCGGGACAAGGAATAACGGGAGGACGGCCAGACGGAAAGTGGACGCGACCCGATCTGAGCCCCTCAAGTGCGTCGCTCCAGTGAACACAGCATGGGCGCCAAAAACAAATTTCCCGAGCCTGACATCAAGGACGAGACATCATGTGTGAGCACCTTCTGTGTTAGTCGTCACCAGCGGCTCTCCTGGAGAGCGTGGGTGAAGTGCCCCAAGCACCGCGCGCAGGCACAGAAGGCGGGCTCTTGCCAAAATGGTCTGAGCCCAAGTTGCTTGAGGGAGGAGGAGGAGGAGGAGGAGGAGGAAGAGGAGGGATGAGGAGGAGGAGG